AATCTGTTATAAACTTAGCATAATTTGAGTTGTAAATAGAACAGATTGACAACACAAACTAAAATGGATTGGTCAAATGGAACTGCATAATCTAAATTGTAAATAGAATTGCATAATAAGTGGCAGATCAGAATTTTAAAGAGTGTGCAACAACTGAATTGCAAAGAATGTGTAATAACAAAAATGCATAAACTAAACTGCATAATTAGGGACAACACAAAATTGCAAATAGCTTTGAATAACATAACAAAATGGTCAAAAAGCATTGCAAGTAGCTTGTTGTTGCAGCTTATAGTTTACATCTCTATGGGTTGGTCAAAGTTGTGATATCCCCATCAAATGGTGCCTACAATTTAAAAGACACATGTTAATATTTTAAATACATATATGAAAACCAGTAAAATCTACAAGTTGCTGAAATGTTTGTGATATCCCTATCCAAGTTATTGAAACTTACCATCAATAAACTAGTAAAACTAGTAACACTAACTTGACTTGAAATGTCATTGATTTCCTACACAAAAGACAATATCAATTAATCACCAAATATTTTTTCGGTTTACTCAGTTAAAATTCTATTAGCTTACCATAAATTGTTGTTGTTTGTATGCATCATTAAGTCATGTGGATGCATTTATATTAGGCACTTTTGAATTGTGCTTTATCCTCCCCTTCACATAAGCCATGGTAAGTTTCAGGAATAACCTCAACTAGTGCTTTTGTCGTTGCTTGGTCTTGATCAATAAAAATTGTTTGGGGTCTTTTCTGTTTATGTGCCTCCAAAATGTTTCAAAAAGCCACTTATTTGACTCTATTGTTTCATTATATATAATGCAACCCCAAAAATCATTGCTTTTCGATGGTGGTTAAATCCTGGGAACATTACTAGTGGTCTATAGGAACTATTTTTGCAATATGTTGAATCAAGAGAAACCACGTCACCAAAATATCCATAATCAATTAGCATCCCCACATCTACCCAGAAGACATTAGTAATTTGATCTTCGACATCTAGTTGATAGGCATGATAGAAAGGTGGACTTTCAACCAACTTTCTTTAAAAGTATTGCAAAAGATAACTGGCTTCCCTATGTACCAAGCTCCTTTGCCTTTTTTTTTTCGGAGATAGTTCTTTTGATCAAAGCAAGTATATCCCAAGTTAGTTCTTCCTCCCACTTTTTTACTCATCAAATCAAATGATTTTCTTTATTGTAGGTCAGCATCATCTGCTAGATCAATTTGCTGACATTGAGCTTTTGAAAGATTTCATTGAAATGACAACATGAGTTGTTTCTTGTATATGTAAAATATGGTTGTGTTCCTCCTCAAAATCATGCACTATCAATTTTCCACACATGTTTTTAAGTCCCAACCTTGCTTTACAATTTGTTATGGTCTCCGATCTTGGATTAATTGTTTTATAATCTCGTTTGTCTGGCTTTCGCGAACCTCCTTTGCAACAAACAAACCTACAACATGAAATTGAGTCATTTTGTGTGTGTGTGTGTTGTTTTCTTTCTCCAAATCCAACTCTCCCACCATAATCAACCCAAAACTTCCAAGCATCCTTAAGGCTATCAAAAATCATAACCAATTTTGGCTTCCAATCTTCTTGCATCGTAAATCAATAATTATGCATTTGCCATAATATAAACAAACATAAAATTATTAATCAAGATGCTAATGTTTCAAAGTCGATTTGTCAACGTTTCAAGCATGTATTGTTATAAATGAAAAATAGTTTTGAACATATTATGAGATATAGAGGCACATATATGACAATCATTCTAAACAATTAAAGATTTATTAGTTTGCATAAATATCCGATTTATTTTTCTTTCATCAATAATGTAACATTAATAGAAAAATTACTAATGTTTCTATTATCAACCATATTTTCACTCTCAAATAGTTATTGAAACTTGAAAGAATTTTTAAAATAATCACATACATAAATTTTTACCTTTCAAGATAATTCCCAACAATCTTTGTTATCTTTGACAAGCAATTTGGGTGCTTTGTGATCACCAAAAACTATACTTTGAGTTGGTCCCAAAGGTGTGCTCTATTTTTCTGTTTTGTTTACAAAACTATAGCAAATTTTATGTAATAGTGGCGTGAAAATGTTAGAGGAAGACGTGTGATAATGGACTTTCATTTGTAACCCTTAGATACATACAAAAAATGAACAGTTATGATGATAGATAGAGAGACATTGTATACAAATTACAGGAGAGGGTCCATTCTCGTTTTATTATGAGTTTTTGTCTTGGTTCTATCTTGAATACACGCGTTTATTATTAGAATATACAAAAGAAAAAAATGATTTTTTTATTAGTGTACCTACTTTTTTTCCTTCTACATATTACTTTAACTAAACAAGTGAAAGAAATTATTTCCATTATTACGTTCGTATTTTTATAAATTCAAACAATGTAAATGTGGACTTAAATTCACCTTCATTCCTTTGGTTTATAGTTTAAAAACTTCTCTTACATTCTATCTTTACCTTAGTCATATTACAAGCTAAATAAAAAATCTTTTAATATTTAACTGCATGTGTTTCAATATGTTAAAACTATAGGCTAGTCAAAGCTTAAAAATGTTAGATTGCATGATACGCTTGAGTGCAAATACAAACCTAAACACATGAGCGAATTGAGAGTTAAATAGTATCTTGAGAGATTTCTATTATTTTTGGATCATCATTTAATCTTAAGTAAAAAGATAACATGTGTTGTTTCATTGCACTGAATAGCTTCTTCTTGTTTTTAGTTTACTTGGTAATTTAGTTTCCTCCTTTACCAAAAGAAAAATAAGTATATATCTTTATTGTAACTTTTTCAATCAATTTGAAATTGTCTTAATTGCCTTAATTAAAATATTACTTGTTAGATCAAAAGACGATCTTAGATTCCTTAGATTTTTAAGTTTTAATGATAACAAATATAAATATTTTTCTTAAAAAAAGTTTTTTTAACAAACAATAAGATGGATAAATCATAAGAAGAATAGTTGTCTAAACATAAAAGTCTCACAAATGAAGTACTTTATATATAAGATACACATTTTCTTTTTCTATCATTTATGATGTTTGATAATAAAATCATTTGTGTCTACATGATTTCTTAATATATCAAATAGAAAATACTTCTTTGGTACTCGTAACTCACAAAAGAACAAAAGACATGTTTTTTCATAAAAAAAAGGACTATGACATATCTTATAAAGCATGAAAAACATTAGATAAAGTTGATTTGAGTTGACACACATAGTTTCTTTCGTTTGACACCTAAAATGTGATAAGTAGCTTCTTTGACCAAATAATGATGACATCATGCCTAGAGGCTAAATCTAAAAAGGAACTAAGAGGAGTGAGCTAGACTTAAAGGAAGAAGGTTCAAGCTCTTATTAAGCTTTGGGTATTTTAATAGTTTACTTTATCTTTTTTGTGTATATTTTCCTTGTAAATATTTCATTTATTTTAACCTTGTATTTTGGGTCAAGTAGATAATCCTGTCCTTATATTATTTTTACTTGAAGGTGTAACTAGTAGATTATGGGAGGTGTAACTAACTAAGACTTGTTAGACTTACTTGGGCTTAGATGGCCCAAACTTCATTTGGCCCATTAAGATTAGACGTCCACTTGTTTATACAAGTGGTTTAAACATCCAAACCAAGTCAAGCTTGTCATCCAAGTTATAAATTAATTAAGTCACATGGTTTTAATAGTGACATCTCAACAACATGTTAAATGTAATCATTAATTTGATAATCGTAATGATTAGGCTATATAGTTTGAGTTAATCTAGTTAAATGTACTATGATTAATCTAGTTATTCAACCAAAGGAAGGGCATTCAAAAATGTATTTTGTCTCTCTTAGTCTCAGGGTTAAAGTTTTATATTTGATCATTATGACTTTATGGTCCAAGAATTTTATGATTTTATGGGATCTTTACCCATTAGGTGTTGCATCTTAATGTGTGATCACAATTATTAAAGATAAGGTTTTGTACTTGATAAAGGGTTCACATTATTTTCGATTGACCTTAAGAATGACTTGATTGGCTTTATGCTAGATATAAAGGTCAAGCTAATTCTAATTGACCTCATGCCAATCTTGGTAGTTACCTATTATGCATATAGATTGAACTAACCCTGATCGACTTTAAAATCAACTCAATTTGTTACTTGCCTCCACCTAATCCAACTTGATAAGTCTATGTCGAAAAGTATTTAGGAAGGTACACTTGCTCATTGACATTGAGCATGAAAGGCATAAGGGTTAGGTTGGAGTGTTCTCTAGATAAATGATGTGCTCAATCATATTGATATACTAATGTTGGATAATATTTGAGAAAGTACACTTGCCCACCAATCTCAAGGCCAAAAGGCATATGGGTTAGGTTGGAGCGTCCTTTAGATAGACAATGTGGTTTACTATGTAAGCATGATCAAGTTGGATAATATCGGAGAGGATACAATAATAAAGTAATGGTATGATTTTTTATATTGTACATTATTTATTTATTCTAGATTTAGTTATTTTAAAAATTAAAATTAAGAAAATAATTAGACTTAAATATATTTTTATTTACTTTCAAAATAAATTTGATTTTAGTCACTGAGGTTTAAAATCGATCTTTTTAAGTTTTATAATTTAATTTTTTTTTTAGTTCTAATACTCAAATTTTGTTAAAAATTTGTTAAATACTATAATAAAAAATTTACCTATTAGTGTTATTGTTAATAAAAATATTATATAATTATCCTAATTTATTATTTTTAAATATGTTATTAATCAAATTAGAATAAAATTTTTAAAAATTACATAGATTAAAAATATCAATTTTAACTTTAGAAAGAAAAATAAATTTATCTTAAATTTAAAATATTAAAATCATATTTAAACATATTAGCTTGACAAAAATACAATTTATTTATTAGTTGTATAAAGAAAAAGAAATAATGGAGGGAAACAAGGGTGGATTTTCCCGCTATACTCTTTAATTTCTTCAACTTTCACTCTTAGACGCTCTCACTTTCTCACTCAATGGCGAAGACTCGAAACGCTAAAAAAGGCGCGGAAGCTGATGCGGAGAATGGCCTCGAAATAATCTCCATCGGTTCTCTCTACAGAGGAGTTTGGGAGAAGAAATACTGGACCACCTCTAGGGTTTGATTCCATCCCCTCCTTTTCCTTTCCCTGCAAATGCAATTTCATGCAATCGATTTCCTTTCCTTTCGACGCCTTCCTTTTGTTTCTGATCCGTCGCTGATTAAGTGAAGTATTTTTGGATTATTCTCTTAAAATTAAGAAGTTGCGGCAATTATTTGTTTTATGCTTCCTTTGCAATTTAACTGAAGATTTAAATTTTGATGACACACTTTGGATTGATATTTGTGCTTTCCTTTGCCGATTGATGTAATGTATTGACTACATTATAGGGAAAAGATCGGTATCCATATCCAGTTGGTTATCAAGCTGTTAGAGCTTTTAATGGGACCGCTTATAAGATGGAAATTTGTGAAGGTGTCAATGGCCCTAAATTTTTGGTTCGTATTTCGGCTTCTATTATGTGATATATGATATATGGTTTGGCTTTAGATTCCATATACCAGAGATTCGCTGTTTGCTTTGAGTTTTATTAAGCAGATTCTGTTGTGTACTGTCATTGCAGATTTCTTCTGATGTTGGGAGTTCGTCTTCTGGGAAAACTCCTGATCAAGCATGGGAGGAATTTCAGAAGAAAGGTTGCCCCCGCATGAAGATTTGGCATGGGAAGAGACTTTCATCTAAGATGGATGGCTTGGAGGTAGAAATTGGTGATGTTGATGAAATCTATCTGTAAAATTTCAGAAAATTTCTCGTTTTTCCAGAAATTTCCCTTTTATGTCTTGATGTAGTGTATTACTTCATTTTTTATTTGATATAAATAAAATATATATGTTATCCATAGCATACGTTTTTTTATATTATCTTTCCTTAGTCAATCATGGGCGAAATAGATTCTTCATCAACGATGATATCAGTTTAAAGAAAAAGAATTTTGATATATTTTGTATATGTTTTTAATGCAAGTTTTAATCTCCCTTTTATAGGATAAACAACTAAGCCTAAGAAAAGGAAATAAGGAAACAACATAAAAAAAAATTAATATCATGATACAATGAGATGTTTTTGCATATCCTAAAATATCTATGATATTTACAACAATTTCATTGTTGATTTTAAAAGAAACAAGGTCAGTAATAGAGAGGAATACTAAATTGAGGATTTAAATGGTAAAATGTAAAACTTCATTTGTTTTGTTGATTATGATAAAATTTTCTCATCAAGAAAGGTTAGAGTAATTTGGTAGCATGCTGTTTTCTCCTGCATACTTTGATGATTATTTATGCTTAGAAACTAATTGTAGCTGCTATTCATGATTGCATGCAATGATGAACAAACTGGCACAATTCTTTATTTGATTAATTTTGTTTCAAGAAGCAGTTTTACATTGCTAGAAAATCTGCTATTTTATCTCAAGAGAATTTCTTTTTAGAGATAAAACCATTCATAAGCCACCACATTACTGCTTAAAAGAGTTGGTCCTTTATATGGTATTCGAGACATTGACCATGCCTCTTAGTTGCACATACTACTGTGGGTTGTGATTCCAGCATTACAATGTTCTCCTAGGGCTTCTAGTGGTGTAAAACTGATAGTATCAACAATATGAATAGAAAATCTGAGATGTAATAACATTGAATGAGCTACAAAAGAGGGATGAATCCCTGGTACAGAACAAGTATTGGGACACAGTTAGGGAAAATGAACAATGGTTGGAGCACAGCTCCTTGCAGAAATGGAAAATAAGAAATATAGACTATAGAACCCCTTTTTCCTGAGTAAGACCTGTTTCTTCAGCCTGGCCAACCAAATTACTTTCCAAATGATTCATTCCCCCAATCAGTTTCATCTCCGTCATATATACCCCTCTCTTCTATTGCTGCATGATTCCTGTATCCTCCCTTCCAACCTCCATCTGCCAGCTGTCAATTATGTCATGCTCCTCTTCTCTTTTCTAATTCCTTCTTAACTGCTGTGAGACATATCTTTCTTTCTTACAGAAGCAGCCATGTTTCTTAGGCCAGTATACCCCTTCTCTTATTCCTTTACCTCGTCTTCTCCCTTTCCTTCTATATACTTGTGTAATGGGCCTACTAAAACACAGACAACTTGTGTAGCTGCAAGGGGTGTGGAGTGTGATGGAAATTTAGGATCCAAATGCCAAGTATGGGACTCGAGTTCCACAGTGGAAGTTAGGGATTCTGATTTAGAGTTTATATGACCTTTGATTCTCCAACCTTGATAGCTAGCTTTTGGGTTTACTTCTCCCAAGGTTTGTATCAGCTAATATATAAGACTGTTTGACCTATTGGTTAGGAGTTAATGTGATAATCAATCTCATAATTTTTTTTAATATTTTTTTTCCTCTTTTATTATTTAACAATCAGTCATCTTTTGTTTGTATTGTATTATTTTTAATCTCTTCTATGATAGTTGTTCATTGTGCTTAATATAGTTTTTTCTATTTTTACATGCAGCTTTTTGGGTTCAAAAATCAGTTTATCCAGAGGTTGCTCAGGGAACTGGTGAAAGATATAAATGGAATAGCAGAACAGAGTTTGGTATCCCCAAACATCTGTGAGAAGAGTCTTGGTCAGGGGAGTTCTACAACCCATTATGGTTCAGAAGTGCATGAGGTTGCAAATCAGATAGGTGTGCCAGTCTCATTGCAAACGATATCTTCCGTTTGTAAAAGCAGTAATTGCATTTCATCCAAAAATGAGTTGCTATTAAATCCTATTGAAATCTCTGACAATAAGAAAGTTGGAGCTGTACCTTCAAAGAGACCGACATGTTTTCTCAATTCTGAAAATTGCAAAACTACAGAACTAACTGAAAACTTGTCCACAGAAGAACCTGTAAGCATACCTTTGAACTTATATATTCTATTGAACAATATTCATTGGAAACATGTTGCTTCATAAATCGTAAGTCTATTGAATAGTTTTTGTCGGAAAGACATCCTAAATTTTGACAATCTTGATTCTTGATAAACCTAAAAGTATAAAATGCTTAGAAGTGATTTATTATCTCATGCTTCTTGAGATATTGCATTTATAAGTTTCCAAGAGACTGTATAAATCACTTTAGTAGTCTATTTTGTTACAGTAGAAAATCTCTTAACTTCTTGCAGCTTCATAGGTCGTATGATGTGGAGTTGAAGATATCTAATTTGTTGGTGGCATCAGAATCAGAAGACAAGAAGCTGATGCAGTCATGTTCTAAAGAGCCTGTTGGTTGTATTGACCTTGATCTTTGTGCTCCTGATACCCTAGATTTTGCGCAAGGTACTTCTATTTTGTTAGTACTGTAGAAGCTATTACTTTTCACTTTTAATGATTTTTGACACTTTCATCCTCCTGCTCATTTTATTTGTTGTTGGATTGAAAGACTGTTTGGCCTAGATGTTGGACATTCTCATAATTATTTGATTTTGCTGTAATGTTTGGGATTTATATTTACTTTTGAACCTTTACACTTTGGGTATGAAAGGTTTGGTGATACTGCTCAATAGCTTTGGCAATATTGAATAGTGTGTTCTTTACATAATAAAAATGTGAAATGTCTTGTGATATTGTCAAATATGACATTTGTGAATTCTACTAATGTTTATACAATATTTATGGATTTATGGGTGGTGTTTAATTTTTCTAATTTAGTTCTCAACATAACAATCAATCATCTTTTGAAAAGCTCAGTAAAGCTTATTATCACTATGTTTAATTTTTCTATTTATTAATATTTGAGTGCTCTACAACACTCCTTTAATATGAACTTCCTCTTTCATATTTTTCTTTTATCTTCTCCATTTTCCTGTTGATTCTGGATCTCTTACTCTATTCACTGCAGAAAATACTCCTGATTCTGCCCCAATTAAACTGGATAAAAATGCTTACAATGAGACAGCATGTGAGAGTGAGGTCACCTCTGGAGATTTGTTAAATGCAGAACATGAAGAAATGCTCAAATCTAATTCATATCCATGCTCTGAGAAAAATTATTTTGGTTCAGCTGGCCAGGATGTGGCAAAGTCAATGATGTCACTTCTGCTTCCTCAAGCAGTTCCTCTACTGAAGAATGTTTCAACAGATAAGGAGTTTACCATTAGCCCTTCATATATGTTGTCTTCTCGGGTGAATTCCAAGGACGAACAAAATAAAATTGGATATAGTTTGAATGTACCATCATCTGGTAAATATACCTATCTATGGTATTTTTTCTGAGCATTTTTTGTTACTGTCTGACAAGGTTGTCAAACTCAAGAGTCTACATGGAGTTTTTCTAGACTTGACTCATAAACTCATAAAAATTTATCGAATACAAAATATACTATTAAAAAACTATTAATAACATATATGCATAACACAATACTTTTATCACAACAAAATTTCAACATTTCAACTTCATAATAAAGCAAAGTAGCAAACCATAAATAAATATGGTAGTACATTAGTACTAAACTAGACCAAACTGTATAAATGGCCAAATCATATATTAATTCATTAAAGCATAAGTTAATAAAGTGAAAACATTTTAAAAGGAGTTAATTTTACTATGGGGTCAATGGGGGAAAGAAATACTATTTGATTTCAAACTTGCTGAATTTCTTCTTAGCTTGAAAGTTTGTGCTGACAGTTCATTCTAAAAGGAGTTTGACAGTGATTTAACTCATTTTGTCTACGTAGACTTGTAAAATTGTTGATCTAAGTTAACTCAAGAGTTTGACATCCATGCTGTCTGGCATAGATCAGTATGTCTGTTATAGTATGTTGTCCTTTAAATCTTCCTTTTGTTTCCACATGTTTGTGTATTTATGTATCCTTATACATTTTGAAAATGTTTACAGCAGATGTAATAATGATAGAGGCTGCACATGGGGAACAAGGGGAAAAGATACATGGGTATACAGACCCACATTCATACACTCCTAATTCTGAACATATTAAGTATATTGTTCCTGACAGTTTTGAATATAGTCAATGTGATGATTATAAAACCAATCAGCAAATATTATCTTCTGATATTGCGGAAGCTGGTAGATCTAGTTTCAATAGTTTCAATAAAGAAATATCTTCTCAACAGCATCTTGTTGATGATTTGCCAAATGGGACATCCACATGCCATGCTTCAGGGTTGGACTTTAAAGACAGGCCCCTGCCTCAGAATTGTAATGTATGCATTTCTGAATCTGTTCTAAATGACATGTCTCCTAAGGATCTAATTATTTCTGAAAGAAGTGGTGATGCTTGCTCAGATTTGAATCAAAATCCAGCTCATGTTGGTCTCAGTTCTGTGCAAAAGGACCTGCCAACTGCTCAGGATTTTACTGGAGGTAATGTGTTTATGATATATGGCATCAAGAAAATAAACCCTGAAATATGGATAAACATGATCATGAGGGTTTAAGTTTACATTTTAATTCAGTCTGTTTTGAACTGAGATTCATGTCAAGCTAAGAAGTCTTCCTAATTTGAACTGAGATTCATGTCAAGCTAAGAAGTCTTCCTAAATAGTTGTTGCACTGGGTGTGTGATTGATTCCTCTACTTATTGGGTTCACATGGCTACCCAATACCCACTTATAACTCAAGCATAAATTGGTCCATGGATATCAATTTGTTAATAAATGAAATATATTGCTACTTCACTTCTTTAAGAACTTGTGCCTTTAAATATTTTTGCTTGCATCAGAACATTATGAAAATTTATAATTTTAATGCTTTATTGATATTTTTATTTTTATATGATTAATGATTATATGATATATTATATATTGGACCTTGATACGTTTACCGGTAATGGAACTCATATCCCATGGAACACTGATCTTGAGTTCGTATCAACCTGAACACATGATCCAACATCACTGGTCATGGTTGCAGCAAAATACTACTTTTGGTTCTTTATATAAGAAACAAATAATTAATTCATCATGGTCAATAATAAGAATAGTTACGTTAGCTAATTTTAAATAATAATGCCATTAATTTAATTTTTTAACCAGAAATACCCTTTGAATTAAATTGTTTTAGTAATGATTATATTTAGTGACATTACTCCTAATTCAAAAGTTCCACGAATGAGTGTGAGTTGTGTTCATAGAAAATAAATGCATCTACTTATATGAGTATTAGGTAGGTTTTTCATTAATAGATTTCACCATAAATGACGGGTATAAGGGGAAATTAGTAATCAATACATCTTAATGTGGGTCTGTGTTTCTTATGATTAGGATCAAAATAGAGTATACATTTGTTTCTAATATAAAGTATCGGTGGTAATATTAACAAGCTGAGACTGAGGATTACTTTAATTGTTTTGTCTGATTGAATCATTACCATTTCTTACAAATTTTATAACATAATGCAGGTTCTGGTAATGCATTCTCAGGTGTAAAAACTATGAGCTGTCAATTAGAAAGCATGGAAACCCTTGTAGAAAAGACACAAGATGAAGTTGTGGGTAAAACTGGCAATGCTGAAATGATTATGTCTTTTAAAGAGCCAAAATTAGTATACACCAGAAAAAAGCTTCGAAAGGCTATTCCCTTCCAAGAAACTTGTTCAGTCACTGATTGTACTGAATATGACAAGTTTGAACTGGTTGCTCCTGAAACTTACACTGCCAAAGACACTTTACCTCCCACAGAAACTGTTCTAATAAACAATTCAAAGGATAAACCATGTGAACCAGATAATTCTGCAGGTTTATGTGTAGAAACACCTCAAACTTATAGTGATGATGTTCTGGGGGATCATATCAACCTAGTGGAACCAAACCCAATAACGTCTCAAAATCCAACCCTGTTTGCTGATGAAAATAAGTGCTTTGGTGCCAAGGACGCTCAATTAATTTCAGAATCAATGCCCCTGCAAAACCAGGAGCTCAAGAATAATCTGGGCAGCAATGTTAAGTTTGTGGGAGGTTATTTGCACCCAAAGCCTGTTTCATCATTATTTTTAAGAACAAGAGAGGATGAAATCCATGTTTGTGTCTTATGTGGCCATCTGACAGATCAGTGCAAGACCCTGTTTACTTACAAGGTAGCTATTACTGAACCAAGTTTAGGTTGCCCTTCTGTCATGGCTCACAGCTCAATACTGTTGCCAAATCCAAAACATAACTTCATAAAGGAAGTAAGTTATTTTTTGCTTGGTTTGTTCTCAACCCCTTCTTCCTTTTTTTTTTAATTATTGTTGTGATTAGGAATTGTGTAGATTGTTGTACACACCAATCTTATTTATAGAAAGAATACAATAAATGATAAAGATACTAATCTCTAATATTATGGAAACTAATCTAATCATATCCCTAATTGATAGTGATTAGTGAGAATAATAACCATAATATCTGTATCCACAATATCTATAATATATCCACAATATCTGTAACAATTACTAACTGTTTATTTAGATAAATGCTCACTACAGACATAACAGAATGTAACCTAGTGATTCATGATTACATACTTGATGAAATCTATCATGTTTTATACTAGGCTATGGTGGAAAGATCTGGGGTGCAGTTGACTCCTGATGGAAAGTATATCGTCTTAATAGGCAGCATAAAAACCCCCTATTGCAGGTTAACTTTTTGTACAGGTTTTTAATTGATATGTAATATCCATAAAATCAAATATAATAACTAAATAGAATTTCATGCCAGGGAAGGAAAAATTGATTGTTATTGCTCAACATGTACATCAGTCTGCTCTGAGAAGAATGCTTTGAAGATTGTCCAAGTAGAACATGGTTATGTATCTGGTGTAAGAACATTCAAAACTGTTGACAATGTGCATTGTATATTGGTTTGTGAACCTAACCTACTTGTTTCTGTTGGAGAGAGTGGGAGACTGCAGGTGTGGGTCATGAATTCAACATGGAGGTGATTTAAGTGACTCTTTTTGCTCTTTCTTGCCCTAGAGCCATTTATGTTCCTTTAAGAATATGATTATATAAATTTTTTAATTTGTTTTGATTAGCTTGCTGATTTCTTATATGTTTGCTTTTGTACCTGAAAATATGGATATGATTATGAGTTTGGTGAAAATGATGAAAGCAGATACATTTTCTGTAATTGATTCAATGAGATAGTACCCCAAGTATACAATGTGATACAATAAAATAAAACCAGAAACAGAACCAATCCATATAAAGAGGAATAAAAAAGTGCCTAATTACTTTCTAAATAAATCCCCTGATTTAAGGGTTTTAGGTTGGTTCTCCTAATAATATGTTTATTGGTAATAATTACATATTTATTGCTCGGTGCTCCCCCTCAAGCCAAGGAATAGATGCATCCATTCCCAGCTTGATGATAAGATCATGGAAAAATGAGTTGTTCAACCCCTTTGTAAGAACATCAGCCAATTGTTTTGCTGGAACATAGGGCATACACACTAGGCCTTCTTCCTTTTCTTTAATGAAATGTCTATCAATTTCAATATGCTCTTTCTTATCATGCTGCACTGGATTATAGGTTGATTGCTGAAATATTAATATTATCAAAATAAATAGAGCTTCATCCCTTCGATTTGATGAGTTATGCATGTGTGATTTTAGAATTTATTCCTGTAGGCCAATAATGTACTCTATAAATATTGTTGATTTTGTAGCTAGAGTAATTAAATATATATTTTTGGTTATGGGGCATACAACTTGGCTTGGCTTGTTCACCCTTTTTATTCACATTTTTGGCAGTGAAAATATAGAGTACTTCATTATTCCAGCTGATGGTTCTGTATCCCCTGGCATTGTGGAGTTGAAGAGGGTTCCGAAGTGTACTCATTTGGTTGTTGGTCATAATAGTTGCGGGGAATTTAGTTTATGGTATGCTATTTCATTCACCTTGAAAAACGGTTTCCCATTGTATTAACATCATTCAACTGGCTTTAACCCAAAAATGTTATTCATATTAGCTGTTAGGAGCCTAATGCACCAGTCCTTCTCAAGAACTAATGTGGTTTTTAGGGACCATGTGGTCATTTATATATTCTCAAGACGTAACATGTCTATGCCAAATTGTTCATGAATGAATTTGGGGGTTTACTAATGTGGGGTTTTTACATTTTTATGAGATGTTTTGATCAATTTATCATATTTGTTGCATCAATTCACTTGCACTATTACCCATTGTGTTGTCAGTAACATTTAGGTCGTTGGATAATATTTTTATTTGGTCTTATTATCTGTTTTATACGAGTCACAGGTTGTTCAAAGCATGAATTTTGTGTCTGTTTAATTCCATACATGATCCCCTCTTCTGCTTGTAAATCTTCAGCAAAAGGAGGTTTCCATTATGAGATTTATACACTTCAAAATTTAGGAGATGTTAACTATGGCTTTTCTTCCATTTTGCATTCCATCATTTCATCTTCTATTCCTGTTTATTATTGAAATTACCTATGACCTAAATCAACAGTTTTAAGAAATTGGAAAGGGAAGGGAGAAGTAATCACTTTGGTAATGATTAAGTAACTTTTAATCTATACAGTTATAGTAATATGATAGTATCTCATCTACTATTATCAACACTTTTCCCAGGGATATTGCAAAGCGTAATTGTGTTACAAGCTTCTCTGCTTTAAAAAGTCCAATAAATGAGTTCTTTCCAATAAGTTTGTTCCAGTGGAAAACAAAAGGCTCAGGATTCAGCTATACTAGCATAAAGGAACAATCTGATAAAATTTTAGAAGCAACTGATTTGTGGTACTCGGAGCAAAGAGAGGCCTGTTGGTTTTCACCATCAGAGGAAGATGTTGCTCTGTGGCTTTTTGTCTCGACGACATCTGACCTTGATTGTTGCCAGAATCATGTTTCAACTTCAAGTAGTTATGATACACATGCAGCGAAAAGTTGGCGGCTTGCACTTTTGATGAAAAATAGAACAAGTTTTGGAAGTCCCTTGGATCTAAGGTGCTATAAAGTTTTTGAATTTGAATATAGTTCATCATGTGTTGCTTAATTCTTTGAAGATCTTTATTTTTTTTTTCTTCCTTTCGAATCTAGGGTTAATTACAAAGATTGTAAGGAGCCATTAGTTGTATTTATATACCATTTTGAGTGATATGGATGGATATAAGAAATTGCATATGAAGGAATGACGACATCTCATTATAATACTATTTAACAGTTGCCATGTTCTTGTTCATTCTACAATGCAGATTTATCGATTTACAGTTTTCTATTTATTAACACTTGTGCAGGACTTCTGGTATTGGTGTTTCTTGTGGTTATGGAATCATTGGTACAAGTGATGGAATGGTGTATATGTGGGAGTTATCTAAAGGATCCAAGCTTGGTACTCTTCATCATTTCCACGGTATGTTGCAATTTGCTCTTTCAGTTGCATGCTCTGAATACCATTTAGCAGTTGCTTTAGCTTATTGTCAATGGTACTTGTGATCAAAGTGTACCTTCTATTTAGTGCCAGGGTTCATTTCTGGATTCTGGTTTGTTTTCCTTGAAACCAGCCACATATTTTGTGCAATATGCCTTGCCAACAGTTACGCTTGGCAACATTAAACCAAAGTTTCACTTGAGACAATCAGGTGATCATGATGTTAGGATGATAATTTTGTTTCGGCTATTATGTGATGCAGAGAATTCTTAGGGGCCATTATTTGTATTTTCATTTCCTGTTTTCATTTTGTAATTATAAAGTTTGTCACTTTGTTTTCAATATGTTTCCTATTTTCAAAGATTTATACAGAAACCATTGAACAACTTTGTTGCTTTTGTTTTCCGTACAAATCCTTGAAAACAGGAAACAAATTGAAAACAAGGTAATATTAAATTTTGTAATTAAAATGTGAAAACAGGAAATGAAAACACAAATTAATGAGCTTAGTTTCGCAGTGAAAGTGACATAAGGACAATACATATCTAGGCTTTCTGTATAGGTAGGAATTGCCATTCCCTTATGACGTGGGATTCTAGGAAGGTTCTATTGGACTTAAAAGGGGATGATAAATAGGGATGTGGGGGAATTGAACATCACTTATACACAATTCCTTGGTAATGATATAAAAAAGGTATACTAGAGTAGATACTCATGCATAAGTGAGAAAGTACATGATTATTAGTTTGTAGTATATATTCCTAAACTTTTGTTACACATGAGCATGATATATAAATGTTTTGAATTGTGCATTAATGATGGCAAATAAATGAGCCTTATTCATGTCAACAAGAATTTACTAGTTGAGTTTTGATCTTAAATAAGTGTGTGTTAGCTACTCAAGAATCCTCTGTTTTTGATTCCCAGAAAAGTCCAATCTTGTAACTAGGGGGTCTAAATGATCAAGTGTAGTTCAAAAGTTAGTAAAAAATTATTAAGCGACTTAAAGTGTCCAAGGAGTTCAATATTGTCGCATCAGGGTTTTAAATAGCGGTGTGGAGCTGCCCCTCCCCGCTACAGGGTTGCCATAGCTGAACAGTTTACTGTAGCATCCATATGGACCAAATAGCAGGCTGATTAGTGGCCATAGCGGGTGCTATAGCAGCGCTATATGTTGACTAAAAAATTAGGGCCTATTTTGAAGGCTATTCTTGGGATTTTTTAATTTCCGAAAATGAAATCTATAGATGTAATAATAAGGAAAAAGGTAAAGAAGACACTGATTTAGAAGATGATGATGATTTCTATCTAGAAAACTTGTATTTGACTTTTATTGATATTTACTTGTATGTTTTGTTTAACACAGTTGTGACTTTTGATTACTAATCATGAATTTCACTAATTTTAAGTATTTTTTTTTTACCATTTTTGAGAATTTATAATATGTATAAAATATATTCTCTCGAGTTCTTATTATAAGACACTTGTAATAGAATCACACAAATCAATATAAAAAGTTATTTTAATTGATTTTATAAAAAAAAACATGAACTATCAATTTTACCTTTTACTTATCCTTAAATTGTCATGAGAGGTGAAAATATTTCTTCATATCAATGTTTATATACCAATACCAATAATTTGATAAATGACAATAAGAGAGTTCAAAAGAGAATATTTATTTATCAAATTATCTTCTCATTATAAGATATTTTATTATTTCTATAAAACATTAGTTTTTTCTCCTATTAAAGATTGTGAGTATGTGTTCTTTGTTGTTGAATAAAGAGAAGAAAATTTGAGAAATACTATATAATTACTGTGTACTAGTAGTATGCACTATATCTATCAATTTTTATCAATGTTTTCTCCCTCACCTCGTTAACTTTATAATTTGTTATTTATCATTACTATGTGTACTAGTGTATTAGTTTTGGGTTATGAAGTAATATTTTTACCTCCTTTGACAATTTATGAAAAGTATAAAGGTAAAATTGGTACATCATAATTTTTCTTAAAACATTGTTTTGTATTAGGTGATTCCCTATATAATTTTGACCAAAAACGGTGATGGGGAACTAAATGAAGTTTATTTAGGAATTTCCACGAAATATTTTTCTTTTCAACTTGGTGTTTAGAATTTGATGAAGAGTGTGTTTGGATACATGTTTAGAAGCTCTTTTAAAAGTTTCTTTACTGAAAATATTCTTTATTTCCAATAAGGAAGCTTGGTAAAGAGCTTCTACCTTGTATCTAAAGAGGTTCCAAATCATGAGAGTGCAAGACCCAAATGTCGAGTGCATAGTAGGAAAACCATTGATAGTCTACACTAAGAGGCCAAAAGTAATTAAAGCCCAAAACTATTAGTTGCTCTAGCTCTATCAAGCGATTAGTGGAAAGATGAGTTAGTTTTGGGAGAGAAGGTAAGGTAGTTATACGCAGAAAGGGAGAAGAAAGAGGGTTTGGTGGATTTATTGCATATGTGAACGTTTGAAATCGAGAGTTGGTTTCTGTCTTGGGTGCCTCGCCACTTTATCTGTAAACGAGTTTTCATTCAAACATGTACTATATTCAGTGTTTGACTGTTTTCTATCATATTTCTATCCCAAGAGGTTCACTCTCATAATTTATCCCACATGCCTACCAAACCTATATGCACATATTTTCCCTTTCAATTCAATCCCAAATTCAAACAATTTCCTCATCATCAATTAGAAGAGTGGTAGTTTTGAATAGAATGTTTTGCTTCTTTGGTTGAAAAGGTGGCTAGCATACTTGGTATTTTTCATCTTGCATGTAAAAAACTTGAGTCCATTGCGTAAATATTTGACCTAATGTTGACAATAAAGTCACCTGTAACTAAACATCTAACTATTGGAGGAATCTAAATTAGTTGTATATATATTAATATGAAAACATTATTAACAATTTGAATTGAGGATGCACTTACAGAAAATACATATACGTTTCTACACTGCTTATAATAAGGTCATTCTCGATAGCTGGCTGGCTTTAATACGCTTTCATGGATGCATAAGCAAAATGTTGATTGGTTTCTCTTATTTGTTTTGTTCGCGTGAGGAAGATATCTACCAAGTTATTATTATTATTTTTTTTCAAATTATAAAAATTACCATTGTGTCAGATGGCAATGTTACATGTGTTGCTACCGATGATTCGAGTGGTGCCTTGGGAGTGGCTGGTGGTGGAGGCCAATTGTTGCTTTATCTACACCTTCCTGAGCTAGATTCAAATTAACTACTGTACAGTGTTATTATTTACTCAACGATACTTCCAAGATTTTTTTTTTCATTTGAATTACAAACAGTGTTCATTTGGTGGAATTGCAAATAGTGTCCATAGTTATTACCCAAATTAGTCTTCCATATGTTCTATTGTATATTTGAGTAAGGACATACACCTTAATGGATCCTAACTCTTTCTTTTATATATATATATAAAGAGGAACAATTTATTCAAGGGATAAGTCTATACAAATTTATTTTGTTTAATAACTAATGTTTTATATCAAATTTCAATAATTTAACTATTGAATTTAAAGTTCTTAATACATAAATTAAGTTTGTAAATTTTTAGAAAATTTGAAAATCATAAAATTTTGTTTCATTAATTTAAATTAATGAATAATTATAAAATTATTTTATACATTGATTTGAATTAATGAAATAAAGTATCAAATAATTTTTAATTTTTTTTAAATATTTGCAGACTTAATCTATGCATTAAAAACTTTAAATTCAAAATTATTGAATGGAATAAGTTTAATAAATTTACTCCTAGAATAAACGGATCCTCTATATATATATATATATGTATATGGAAATTGAATTGGTTTTACTAGTTGAAACAAAAATAATAATACATAGGCCTAGTGTCTAGTTTGAAATAATCACAAAATTGGCTTGTATTAAAATCAGTTGAAAATTGATAGAATTGGTTAAGTCTAGGGAGATTGGAGAAAAGTTGGTTTACTATTTGAACATACAAGTTCTTTAGTAATGTTATCAGAATTACTATGATTCACTTAATCAAAATATTGAATTGGTGGATCATTGATTAAACTATTGAGTTATTAGTTGAATAATTGATCTATAATTAAATATATAATTTAATAATTGTCATATATATAACAAAGTTATACGTAGATGTTGCAATTCATTGTCTCTTATAAATTCATGACCTGTGTTTTACTCTATCGACCTATTAAGTTAATGAGTTACTAATTAAATTAGTAAATTAATAATTGAAATGTATAAATTTAAAATTATTTAATATATATTAATGATAAAAAATTGTATTTAATATAAATGTAATTTAATTGTCATAAAACTATATTTGCCTATTCAATTTTGATTGTTATTGTTATAGTACTATTATTGTTGACGTGCATTTCTTTGTATAAACTAGTAACTCACCTATGCAACAAATGAGTCTTGTTTTTGCCTAAAACATCCACTATAAAACCAAAAATATTTAATACAATAACTAACTTTTACCTATGCAACTATAGATGATTTTAAAGAGCCAGAGGCATTTTATCTTATTCTAATGTATACAAAGTTTTTAAAGACTTTATGACAATGTTCAAATAACATTATTGAGAAAAAATTGTCATTCACATTTTTTTTTGGTAGAGTTTATCTTTCAAAACATTCACATTTTTCTTTTGTAGCGGGCTTATTTTTCAAAACACGCATCAAATTACTTCCTCGATGACCCATGTGCGAATTGTAGAAGCGAATCTTATGTTGAATGTTAGTGCATGCAAAATGTTTATATATATATATATATATCATATCAGGTGAGAAAGATTTTTTATTATGAGAGATGACAGTGTTTAACATTAAACATCAGATGAAATTTAATGGTAGAAATGAAAAGTTTATTTTAAGATCTCACGTGATTTATCTTTCTATTTTCTCACGCTTAATCTACATCTCACGCAACTCTCTTCCTTTTGTCAGATGTTTTTCCTAGTACATTCAATCTCAATTTTTTTCTTTACATGCTTTTCTTCGACCACATGTTCTTTTTATTGCTCGACTATGTTCTTCTCTCTCACATATATTTTTCACATACAATCAAGTATTGGTTCCTTTAAAGTCAGGTACACTCTAGCAAAAAGTATATTTGCCTCTTTCCTTCACTGTCACTCCTCTTTCTTTCTCTCACCATGGCATTCCTCTGTTTCTTGTTAATCATGTCAACAATCCTATTATATTACAGCATTTATTTGGTTATTAGTGCTCTTAATTAGTGGTGTGTTCTTTTGGAAAATTCATTGTTTACCATGTAAGAAACTTAGCATTTTGTGAGTGGATGGAAACCCATTGTTTACTTTCTATGAATTTATTTTGTGTATATCGTAAAAATAAGTATAAAACAATGATAATTGAGAATTTTTAGATTTTATAATTTTGTAAATGACACAATTTTAAATTCAAGAAGTACGACTCCACAATAAAATTGAAATTCTTTATATGATCTAATATATTCAAATACAATTTTTTTCACTAATATAATCATTGACATATACTAGGTCATTGTTATGGAAGATAAGCAAAGCTTTCTACCTCATGCCACTTCTGGCAACAACTCAATAAGTCTTACGCCACCTGTGGTAACCTCTATCAAACCATAAATAATGTATTATGTTGTTAATAACAACTTTTGTTGTGGTCATTGCTATGTTGTTAATATCTTATTTCATTTATGTTATTTACATTGTTGTTTTTAGGGAAATGAATCGGTGCTCAATTGTGATGAGAAATTAAAACCTAAAGTTGGGCAAGTATTTGATACTTTACAAGAAGCAGAACAATTTTACAAAAATTATGCACATAATGTTTGATTTAATGTGCGTTGTTCGTAAGAAACAAAAGATAAAAATGGATTGAAGCTTTGGAAGTATTTTGTTTGCTCAAAAGGAGCTTACAAACCAAATAAGATAAAGGTGGTGAAGGAAAGTAAATCAATTATTAAGACTAATTGAAGGAGCCTTACAAGAGAAGGATGCGAAGCAAAAACTATTTTCAGACTAGTAGATGAAGGTAAATATGAACTCTTTGGATTTCATGAAAGTCATACACATGCAATTGCTTCACCTACGAAGAAACAATTTTTGAGATCAGCAAGAAAGTTAGTCCTGTGCACAAGAGTTTACTACTTGCATGTTGGGGCTTCAAAAACATTTCACCTATTGAAAGAACAAGTTGGGGGTTATGAAAATGTTGGGTGTACACAAAGGGATCTCCAAAACTATTCAAGAGATTTAAAGACCTTGATCAAAGATTCTGATGCACATGTTTTTATTGATAACTTTAACAGAAAACAAGAAGTAAATCCATCATTTTATTATGCATATGAGATGGATGGAGAAGGTCGCATAAAAAAAAGTTTTTTGAGTTGATGGTATTTGCAAGAAAATTATTCATTATATGGGGATTGGTCTCATTCGAAACTACATATAGAACAAATAAATATTTGATGATTTTTGCCCCCATTTACCGAAATAAACCACCATAGACAATGTGTTACTCTTGGTGCAAGAATTTTAGTTGATATTCTTCAACTCAAAGATTTTGTATGTGACACATCATGAAAAAGTTTATGAAAAGGTAGGTGTTTCTTTGAATGTTAATGAGGAGTTCAATAATAATTTCAAGTCATGTGTTGGGAGATCAGAGACATCATATGACTTTGAGGCAACATAAAAATATATAATGACTAAGTTTAAGTTAGAAAAGAATGATTGACTTTCACATATGTATGATATTCAAAGCATGTGGATCCCAACTTACTTTAAAGACATTTTTTGGCTGGGATATTGAGAACAACATCAAGATCAGAAAGTGAAAATTATCTTTTTGGTAACCTTTTGAACTCTAATGTTAGCTTGGTTGAATTTTGGATAAGGCTTGATTCTACAATAGATGCACAAAGGAAGAAGGAGTTACTAGCCGACAATAATTCACTTCATTCCATGCCAAAACTAAAATTAGATCATAATTAAGAGAAGTATGAAAGATATGTTTATACTCGTGAGAGTTTTTATATATTCCAACAAGAGTTATGGGATGCTTGTGTTTATTGTGGGGTTGAAAATTAGCAAGAGGGAGATGGAGTGGAAACATTGCATGTGCGTGATAATAGTGAGTCAAATGGTAAACTACAGGAATTGGTTTATATAATCTTTTTGATCACAATGCAATTTGTTCATGCAAGATGTTTTCATCTCAAGGCATACCTTATAGACACATACTTTGTGTCCTAAAAGGAAAAGGTTTAAATGAGATACCAAGTTATTCATTGTTCACAGGTGGACTAAGTTGGCAAATAGAAAACCTATTTTAAATATTGTTGATAATGTCCTAGATAGGTGTTCCAAACCAGAAAATGGGAGTAAGCTCATTTCATATGTATGGAACCATTTATTGAGGTGTACGAACAAGGCTGTACAATGTAAGGAAAAATTGTTAGAAAAGAATGGCTCAATCCAAGAGGGGAGTGAATTGGATTCTATGACACTTTAAATTTTTTTAGAGTATTTAGGATCTTTATTTCAATTAAACTTTTCTAAAAATAAATTTTCAATGAAGTTTCTTAAAGACTTGTCATTGAAGAATGAATCCTATATGCTTTCTTGATTAACCAATGAGGTTCAAAGATAATATTAATATGTAATGCTTTGATTCAGTTCAAACCAATGTTATTCATACACACATGTTAATCAAGAACAATCTTCTTTAATGCACAATCAAAATATTACACAAAGTAAAAGATAAGAGTAAGAGAAGATTGCACAAGTCTTTTATCTTGGTTCAACCACTCCACATGTGACCTACATCCAGTCCTCAATCATAACCTGATCAAAATTTGTTCCACTATCTTAATGAAGAAGGTTTACAAGCATACCACACATGCATACACTCCTACATTCAAGATAACCACTTTCTTGACCTCAAGAAAGCACCCCTTGTAGAAACCCACTACAAGAATTCCTTACCACTTGAGAAACCCTCTCAAGATTTACAAGTATTCACAAAGAATTAAGGAACGAATTCACCTGGAATTCAGAAGAAAATCTTAATCTCTTCCCTTTCAAGAATGTGATGATGATGATCTTTTCTCAAAGCTTTTCAAAAACGTTTTTCTTCTTGGATTCACAAAGAAAACTCTCCAAGATTGTCACAAAGACTTCACAAAAACGCTTTTCTAATTTTGATTCTCAATTCTAACTCTGTTCTGAAGTTTCAAAATGTTCAAACTATTTATAAAAGTTTCAGAACCAGATAATCGATTATTTTAAAGAATAATCGATTATTTTGTTCTTCAGGTTTTCTGGAAACCAACCAAGAACAATATAATCGATTATTTTGCTGGATAATCGATTATTCCAGAGAGTTATTTCTGGGATAATCGATTATTTCACAAATAATCGATTATTGCAACAAGGC